TTAGAGTGGTGCTGCTGGAGTTCTGGAAGAGAGAAACAGTGTGAGGTACCTGAGATCTCAAAATGGTACAGGCAGAATGCTGAAGTGCAATTGAAGTGTGCAGAGAGGAAGGTGGAAGGAAAAAAGATCCTAAGAATAGATTTACCAACAATTTTAAAATCAGATTTTCCTAGTGTTTGATTTCTAACAGCTTGTAATCAGCTAATGCTTGTGCTGTCAAAGCAGGTGCTTGACCATCTCTGCAGGTTCCACGCTGGTGGCTTCTGAAAGCCCTGCCCGCTCAGCCATGAGTATAAATGCTYGTGAGTTATCTTGGTAATGTGGAAAAATCCTGCAGGTTTCCCTYTGGGAAATGTGTGGGCAGAGTGCCGCTGTGTGGTGACACGGAGCACAGCGTGCTTGGCGAGGGGATGAGGGGTTGAAAGAGCATCTCCAAACTTGAAGTTAGTGGAGGAATGCCTGATTTCTTCCCGGGATTTGGGTTGTGCCTGGTAAAGGAGCAGGAGCCACACTCCAGATACTTGCTTTTTCATTGTATATTGTTTTTCTTTACCTTTTCTCCCCAATAGCCTTTTGACAAAGGTAAGGCAAAGCATGTTCTTTTCCAGTTAGGTGTTAACATCATCTCTCTCCTCAAGGGAGACTGAAATAAACAGGTAAGAATAGGACATGTGTAGATAGTATGCTRTGTTCTGAAATTCTGTCCAATCAATATGTTGCTAACGGTCTCGGTTACAGGCTGTGCTTTCTTATACCTGTGCCAGCAATGCCAGGGCTGTACTGTGATCATACCTCTATTACAGTGAGCATTCTGAACTCACAGTGCTTATATTGAGACTAAAGGTGTCTTAGTTGCTTGTCCTGGCATCCTCCTAATTTGCTCATTTGGCTCTACTGATAGGTCTCACACCTTAATTCTCACTTTTCAGTGCCTTTTAGCTTAAATATTAAGTCTGTGGATAATTTGCTTTGGGTTTTGCTCCAGGGAAGGGAAGGCTTCCTTCTGAAGTTGTTAGTTGTAGGATTGAATGGCAAGGAGAACAACAGTGAGCAGCAGCCACCTAGCCAGGGGCATAGCCTGCAGGCTTTCCCTGTGCTATAAACCAGGAACTGGCTCTGCAGCTGAGCCATCCATATGCTCAGTGGCTCTTTGCTGACATTCTTCCAAAACAGCCAGGCTTCATGAGCTCTTCAGCCTGATCATAAGAAATGTGGTAGCATTCCAAAGTGTATATGAGTTTCCCCTTTTCACTGTCCCTTTCACTCTTGTAGGACCTAGGAGGATTCAGCCAGTGGTTYTTGAAGCTGCACATGGGGTACAGGGTAGGGAACATGGCACTACATTGTTGTACCTTTAAATACCCCACCTTTGTGTGTGTTGCTTTTTCCACTCCCTTGGAGGATAACCTAAGGGATAATCATGGGCCTGACCTGTCTCCCTCAGAAATACACATATTCCTCCATATGTATCCCAACCCCCAGTCTTTCATTTTCTCATCTAGTCATCCTTCATACTCATTTCTCTGCTGGTGGAAGGTTCATTTTGTGTTACAAAGGTCTTTCAAGGCCATCCCCAGGCCATCTTTCACAATGTTTCCACATGGCTTTATCRACCGAAGTGTGAGCTCTTTCTAATTCTAGCTGCACCTTCCTTGCCTGCAGCAAAGCTGTTCTCTCTTCACTTCCCATTCTCAGTTGTCCCACCTTCCTTGTCTGCACATTGTCAGGAACAGTAACTGTCTCTTGCTATAAAGGTAGAAAAAGGTCACCCTTCTTACCAGTTGACAGTGGCATGGCATTACTTTGGCAAGATTTATTCTTCCCTTTGTAAGAATCAAATTCAATCACCTCCACTAAATTGACAGAATTTGGGGCCTGAAACTATGAAACATGCTTTAGCTTTCCCATTGTGAATCACAAACTTTGTAGCTGCACAACCAGCTGGATTCTAAAGCTTCTGAAGTAATACCCAGCCATTCAAGAGATTTTTCAGCCATGGAGAACAAGCAAAAATTCATTCAGGAATCACCTGGTCTGGCCCTTTCCTAGACAGTTATGCATAAACACACTTAACTACAACTTGGTCATATGAAACATGTCACAGAAAAGAGGGGTTGCCAGACACACACTTCATTTCTCAGAGAATTATTACCATCCATGTCAATCCTAGAGCATGTGTGTGGCCCATTTGTAGTTTTTCCATGGGAAGAGGCTCTACAAACTCATAATTTATTCCAGTGCTTTTCTGTCCTGACCATTAAGTCATTAGACTTTCCTCAGTGTTCAGCTTAACTTCTGCATTTGAATTAAGTCTTTATCCTATCCACACATTATTACTTTCCTAGATGCTGCACTATTCTGTRTATTGGAAAGTCATTTTTGTGTCCTTTTTGCTGTCCCATCTCAAGGAGAGAATTTCTCAATCCTTCCTCACAGGCCATGTTTTCTAAGCCTCTGATTTTCTGGAGGCCTTCCAGCAAGTCCACAATTTTCTCAAAGTGTGATTTTGTAACCCTGTGTCATGCAGACAGTTTGAATTGCTGATGAACATAATGTAAAAGAATTAAGAAATACAGTATTATGGGGCACACTTCCATTACAATGATAAAATAGAGCATGGCAAATCTATTTCTTATCTTGTGGAAATCACACCTCAGCCTAATCTCCAGTTAAAATATTCATTAATACAGTCTGAATAATAAGCACATATAGAACAATGACTATGAATCTAGCTTTSCTTACACTTGGGAGATACAGGTTTGTGCACATGAGAGGTTCTGACAAGATCAGGATAGCAGTGAATGAAGCTTTTTATACACACCTGTCTAACAGAAAGGGATTATACACAAATGAATCTAYGGTTGGTGTTAGCCTACATATCTCACACAGTGACTGGTCTGGTTTCTGGGAGAGTGAAGATAAGGAATAGGAATACAGGCAGAGACTTGCACTGCATTGTGGTAAAATCTGGATGCTTCCTAAAGGAAACTACTGTGTCTTGCAGGCACAARCTAGCCCTTGTGTAGGTCAAGTCTTGCTGCAAATACATAAAACTTTCTGGACACAAAAATGTCTTAGCAAGTCACTCAAATCTTGCTAACTTCACCCCATTTCATCTAAGGAGTCCTTGTGCCCTAGATTTGGCTGCTGCTTTTTTGCTGGTTGGTCTAGGTCATCCTTGTTCCTCCTTYGTGGGACCTCTAAAAGAGATATTTCAACAGTAGGTACATTTAAGACCAGGCTTCGGTCCTTGGCAGAGGGATGGACAAATTCTGTCTTCAAGAACACATTTTCTGGGATTGATGGTTCTGTCAAGTGTGAGATTTTTGGGCTCAGTCCAAGAATAATGATGAAATGGCAGTCATTTATATACAGAATGATCAAACCATTTCTCTTAGACTTCMATACTGAAGCAATTATGAAGTGTGGAAATTAAATTAAAGACACTATTCTCCAATATGTGCCCAATAAAGGTTAAATAGGACTCCATGTTCCAATTTTGTATCTGACATTTCCTAACTGGGAGTTTAATTTCTAGAATATTAATTATGTTCTTTAGCACTTACGGACTGTCAACCATCTCTAGTTTAGTGTTGTAGAATCAAGTTTAATAGTTCCTTGCCAGGAAGTATTTGTATGAAATGCAGATTTCTTCATTTCATACCAAGTGTAACAATTTAAGTTCTGACTCAGTCATTATATCACTATATTCATGCAGCATGCTTACAGCTTTGTCTCTAGTGATATTTAAAAGAAAAAACAATTCAGGAATCATTGAAAAATGAAAAAAGTTTGCATAGTTCCATATGAAACAGTAGTGCATGTGCAGGAGGATATTTGATAAATGAGATATATATGTATGTATAAGCATTTAGATTAGTGAATAATAATTTTCAGGTACTTGATTTCATACAGTATTTAATGATTTTTGGATTAGACTTTGTGACTGGGGTGATCGAAGGCCTCTCCTAGCATTTCATGTTGGTTTTACTTTATTAGTGGTTAGGAGCTTCAAATAAAATCTTGAGCCATTTTTCCCACCATGTAATTTAATATCTTAGGCAATGTATCTCATCCCAAAGGAAATACTGTCTAAATAAGGCAGATGTTACCTGGTTTGTGTATTAATCCCACTTTGAGAAAGTGAGTAGAGAGAAAAGGCACCATTCCTGAGGTCACATAGGAAGCACATGGCAGCCCCAAGGATTGCAGCACACTTCCAGAGCCCCTGTGAACATCCAGAAGATGATTCCCCTAGGTTAAGATCAGTATTTTTCCACACTGCAGTAAATTCTTTAGGTGCTGTATTAAGATTTAGAGAAGTTACTGAGGAGCTCAAGTGATGCAAAGCTTTTGTTTGGATGACTCTAAGGAAAAAAAATAATCTTTAGTTTATTCAGTGGTGCTGTCATTGTAAGCAATTTACTACTTGACATAAAGAAAAGTGTCAGACTTCATCTCCAAGACACTGCAATGGAGTTTGCACAGGTACAGATTGGGATATTTTAAGTCTATGGTTTTACAAATGGTGATGTGCCAAAAAAGCCCCAATATGAATTTGTCAAGGCAGTCATGAAAAGTCTACATTGTCCTTTGCAAAATACTTTTGAGGACTTTTTGTGAGATCTAATGGTTTTTCACAGAATTAATACAAAATACCTGACTTAGAGCTATGCAACATCTCCTTTCTAAATATGTTTATGCTCAACTGAACTCAGCTTCCCACTTTTATTTGTGGCTTATAGTAAATGCCCTGAGCACATTTTGCACTCAGATTAATAACCACTTTATCRTCACAAGTCTTCCTGGGGCTACCCATTTGGGGGTTTTGTTTTGGTTTTGTTTCTTTCATGAAACAGGGTCAGCATGGTTCTCTCTAGCATTTGTAAAAGAGGGAAGTGCGTGGATGATCTGTCCCCTTTATTCAGATCATTCATGTCACATTTGGAAACCAGCCTTATTTTTAGTAAGCAGGGCAGTGGTRGAAGCTGGCTGGTGTAAGTGGTGTGGTTGGGGATTTTTCTTGGTTTTGGTTGTTGTGTTTAGTGTGTGATTCCAGGCKGCTCGAGGGGAGCTGGGTTTCACTTGCTGTCACTGCTCAGGGCTGCCATCAGAAGGAGATCTCTGGCAGCGCTCGCACTGCTTTCCATATCGCAAACTGGGAGTGCAGCAAACGGCACTGGGCTGCTGTGAGGCTCCTGAGATGAGTGTGTGCAGAGACCTGGGCTAGCTGCTCTCGCCACTGCCGGGGACTCCCAGCTGCTGGATACCTCACTTTCTCTCCTGCCTTCACTGCCAGGTCTGCTGGGGCTGCTTCACGTGGTGCTGCCCAACTTCTCAACAGGTAAATCTCATTCCTTTCATTTGAAATGTGTGTGCAGAGCTCATCTGCAAGATGCTGGGGTTCATTAAGGTATAGGGATTAATGAATTGCAGGTTTGTAATTGAGAAAACCTACTTTCAAACAGCAAAGGTACAAAACTTGGTGCCTTGTATGTTCCTGTGCCAGGTGTCACAACGCCAATCCTCACCAGGAAGTGCACAGGGCCATTTCCTGGCTTTGCAGAAGTGGACAGTATTTTGCAGATGTCAGTAGTTGAGCTGTACAAGATGTTCTGCTGAGGAACAAGGCTTGATGCKATCTCAAATGAAATAACTGTGATTTTTAATTCTTAGTAAACACAGATTACTGCTTTTCCTGTTACTTTCCTGTAAATACTGTTGGGTTTTTCTCTACTGATTTRACTTTGCAGTGCTTGGGGTGCTTGGTTTTTGATGAAAGTGTCTGGACAGAGACTTTAAGAAAGAGTACTTTGGCAAACTTTGGGGTCTTTGGACAAATTCCCTGAGGGAGAATTTTAACAGCTCATGATGTGTAATGCTAGATAGTCTACAATCCACCCAGGAGTCTCATTGAGCTGCCTTGATAACTTTGGGAGAAGTGTTTGGAGTGTCCTGAGTATGAATGAGAGGTGTCCCAGACCTCAGGCTCAAGACTTGGGGTTCTGGGTCTGGTYCAAGGGTTTCCTTGGGTAGAGACAGTGAGCAGAGCCMTGGTYCCTGCCTGCTCRGGTTTGGAATGGGTGGGAAGTGCTGTGTGGCTCCGGGGACCCCAAGCTCCTGCTCAAATGCTCAGTGCCAGATTCCCAGGGCAGGGAACTACAGCTGACAGCTTTGGGCCAGACTGGTCCCAAGAGCCCTCAGCTTCCTGGGGAAAGAGGGTGATGGTGTGTTTTGCTGCTCAGCAGGATGTGGCTAATCCTGAGCTGTATTTCTTCAGTTGCAACAGCTTCTCCTTTGTGCTCCCAARCACAATGTGGGGGAGGCTGCTGGTGCATTGCTCTAGTAATGCCTTGCTCTGTTCTCTTCTGCTGGTGGTTCTTAGTGTCAGTCTGCAAAAAGGAATGACTTAACCCTCAGTCTCTCCATCCCAGGCTGAAGAAAAGCATAATACTTTAGTGTTATTCCATAATCTTTTAGGGAGAAAATGTGAAGCATAGAAAGGTTACATGACTTGCCAAGTTCAGTGTCAGGAAGAGATTCTAGAGCTGTCTTTCTTTCTGGTCTTGATATCCCTGCAGTGTTTTTCCATGGACTTCCAGGGATGGTTAAATTGCTTCCTTGCTTTGCTTACACTGACCATAAGAAGCCTGGGGTATCGGTAGAGTTTGGAAGCTGATGATGATGAGTAGGATTGAGGTTGAGCGCTTCACTGTGGAAATCTATGGCAACCTTTAGGGAAAGTCCTTTTCATGAGGACACAAACAGGACCTCAGAGCAGCCAGGACTGCACATGTGGCCTGTCTTACTGCCCAGGYAAGTGAGGAAAAACTGGGAATACTTTAGACTAGCTGCAGCAGAGCCATGATGACATTTCTGTGACTGGTTGTGGTATGGATTAGAATGATGGCTCTGGGCACTCAGGAATTGGGAAATAATAAACAGAGACTCTTCATGTCCACAGCATTGCTGGAAACTCAGTAATCATCAGCCCTTTTCCCATGTAGCTATGCACTTCTCTAATGTAAAAAAATCCTCCTGGCGCTGTTTTCTGGTAGACAGGTCTTTAGTCCATAGGCTCCTGTCCCAGCCTTGCCTACCTTGCTGGCCGTGTCAGAATGGGCCCAGGCAGGATGGCTTTTGCCTGCCTCTGTCAGGCTCTTTGCCCTTGGCCCCATCCCCTGGGAGCCACACACCAGTTGGTGGATGAAGAACTGAGACACATGAGGGCACTTTGATTAGGGTGGCATGGAGAGGTCTGTACCAAAGCTGGAAATAGAACTCTGTTAGTAGAGCTACAGAAACTCCCGTTCAGACCTTAAAAAGGTCTCTAGAACTAATGTGAAGTGTGGAAGTCCTCTGTAAGCTTACACAGTTTTGTCTTCTGACCTGTGTATTTTATCAGTCAGGATACTCTGGAGGGGGTGGAATAGCTTGCAGGTTGAATAATTTTGGAAGCTGATGGTAGCTGACACTACCCAAGAACTGGATTTTCCTCACTGAAGTGTTGCTTAGCCCATGCTTCTCAGGTTCATGTGAAGKTGGTCAAGCTGTGCTCACTGAAAATAGTTGGGAGAGTAAGAATCCTTATCATACTCAAGTGTTGAGATCAGATTGGAAAGGGTGTAAATGGCAACCAAAATGAGCAGTCGATACTATCACATCCAATGAACAAATGTGCTGGTTTATTCAGCCAGGCAAGATAAGGGAGATGGGTAATCTGGTAGAGTTTAAGAATGGAGGAGAGAGAACTGTTGCTGCTGAAGGACTCTGGTGATGCAAGAGCAAGTGACAATAAATTGCTCATTGAAAAAAACCTAACAGGCAAGAGACTAGGGGACTTCTAAACATCAGATCAAAGAAGCTTTAGACTTTTTCACTCATAGTAGTCAGGGAAATCACCTGGAGAGGTTAGTTACAATTTTGAGAAGTGGTTTATGAGACTGGCAGTTACCTGCTGTTGTCACAAACTTGATTTAGTAGCCTTTAAGTTCCTCTTTTTACAGAAAAGTCTGGCAGAAAAGACACATTTGCCAGACTTTACTGCCACTGTTCTTTCCCAAGGGAGCTGTTCCAGTGCTTGGCTATCCTGCTTTTCTGGTAGAACAGTCCATGGGGAGCCGCAATGAGCCGTGTTATACCTTGATCTGCTGCGAGATCTGAAAAGATGCGAGCATTTGATTTCTCGGAAGGTGAAAGTAATTTCTCATAATACGAGCGCAGATCGTTATTGCTGCAGTTACTGGAATGAGAGTTTTCTCCCTGCCTGGCCTTTTTAGTCCTCTTCTTTAGATGTCTTGACTAACAAAGTCTTTTGTCCTCCTCTGCTTGATGCAGGGCTTGGGCCAAATTTTTCCCTCTATCTTTTACCAGAGGTAATAAAGAGTGACCACATTTATGCCAGTGAAGTTCCCCTGGGTTTGCTTTGTCACACCTGACAGCAGCACAATGGTGCTGTGCTGCTAGGTGGGAGTTGTGCTTGGGAGGTATTTTTTYGTATTATTATAGAGACAGTGACAGAGTTAAGGCTATAATGCAGGGTCTCTTATAATTATGCTCCTATTATGCTTTGTAAAAGGGTTTGTGAGCTTTTATTTGCTAAGTGAGCACTGCCAGCAGAGCAGCCTTTCTGGCAGTGCTGGCTGAATCATGCACATGGATCAAGGGGGTTATTTCCACGTCTCAAGCATCCCTGTGCCATACTGTGTTTCTMCCAAGAACATAGCCCAAAATCTCCCTCCCTGAGAAAACAAACTGGGAGGGGTTCTGCTGTTTAATTTACCTGCTCAAGTTAGCAGCCTCATCCCCGAGGCTTCCTCTGTAGTCTTTGGAAAGGGAWAAGTCCCTCAAGAACACTGTTCGATAATCTATGTTAGGGTACAAGTGCATTGTCCCCAAGAGGAGCTTTTCTTTCCTGAGAAAAACTGCCTTTGTACAACTTAGAACTTAAATCAGGTGTTCAGTGCTATGACTGTGACGATTCCCTGCCCTCTGCCAGGTGCCTCAGAATGCATTTAGGACATGAGGGGCTTTCTTTTAGATGATGTCTCTGTGACAAAGATGCCTCAATACTGCCAAAACCATGCATTCACACACCTGCACCGTTTGCAAAGCTGTTTATATGCCTGATAAAGGTGATCTAAGGCCCACAAACATTTGGATAGGTTTTTTAGATCCTGTGCCCTTGTGGAGAGTGTAGGCCTGGGATTCAGCCCTGCTGGCCCAGTCCCAGGAGGGAATGCAGTGACCCTGGAAGGTATACTTGGTTTTTGGTGTATAAGTAAAACCAAAGAGACTCAGTGTGTGACTCAGTATTGGTTTGGGGGGTTTTATGTATACTGGAAAGTTGTTGAGAAATTTGGAGTAAAATTGTAGTGGGTGCTTCTGCTTTGTCTGCTTCTTGCATTGAGTCATGAAAAGCTTACAAAAGCCCTATGGGCTGATGCTTGTATAGCTTTGCTTGTGTTTTTCTTTTCACACCAGACTTGGAGGAGAGTGTGCCTTTGATGGGTGATGGGAAGGTGGAAGAGATATACAAAGACGTTGCTATTTCCTGGCAGTCTCTGTGCATTTGTGTGCAGTCCTGCCTGTAGAAAGCTTTCCAGATATGTTCAAGTCGTTGTAGAGCGTATTGGTTTAGCAAGGTTTAGCAAAAATCCGTTGTGCAAGAACCGACTTCCTTCTCATCTGGGGAAAAATTAATTCTGTGCACTATGGTTGTTCCCACTTGAATAATGACACACAAAATTTGGATTCTGTGCAGGTGTCAGCTACCGTGAACTCGTGAGAGAGGTTGTGTCAGTTAAGAGCAATGGCTGCAGCATCTGTCATGACTGCACACGTTGTGTTAAAATGCAGAGTGAAGGTTGGAAGTTTCCTTGCTGCACCTGTCAGGGCACTGTCAGATTCTTCATGTCCAGCCTGTGGTAACCRAGCAGAGAATGCAAGCTGAGACTGAAAAACAGAATGAAAATACTTAACTCCACCCTCCTATCAGCACAGCCTCCCCCAGATAAGCAGCTGTAATCTCTGCTCAGGGATCTGGCTTGGACAGCACTTTCACACTTGTCCACTCCTAAGGCCCTGTCTGTTCCCTTTCACAGCAGCTGAGGGCAGGCTCAGGCTCTGGAGGCTTCAAGCCACCTTTGCAGCACAGGGCTGATACAGGAGATGTGTGTGACATGAGTTGGGGCTGGCTTAGTCCTGGCATTGGGAAGAGGCACTGGGGCTTCTCTCCTAGGGCAGACAGAGCCTGAGCACATCAGTGACCCCCTCCTGCCTCAGCCAGCTCCAAATGCCAGCACCAGCTTCCTTGAGCCCCAATTATGACCAGAAAATGCAGGCTCAAGGAGCTCTAGCTGGCCAGAGGGCAGAATATTTGTCATCCACAGTTAAGGTCCTCTTGTCTTTGGAACTTCAGCATCTGATCAGACTACAAAACWGTGTCAGTAAAAGCACAGCTCTTCTCTGAAGAGACTGCAAGTGTTTCATGCTTGTCTCTCAGGACTTGGTGGCAACTGTGCGTGGCTTGCAAGTACAAAGAAACTTTTTTTCCCCTAACTGTCTCTCCTCCAGATGCAGCCTGAACTCAGAGACCTGAGCTGTAGTCTTTCTATCAGCCTCTGATCAGAGGGTTTGATAGAAAAGCTGAGTGTGCAGCAGCACCTGTGAGCTGGGGCCCAGCAGTGTGCACAAACGGSCATCCAGGGAGTTCACTTGGTAAGGCTGCTCACACATGAACTGGAACTGAGCCCAGCTGCTGCCCTCCAGCATTATTTTGAACAAAAAAGTCACACTCTTCTACGTGCTGCAGCTGTGTCCTTACTTGCACTACTGCCTTTGTTGCCTCAGAGCCTGCTGGAGGGACCTGGGGACCCAGCAGTGCAYAAGGCCAATGGGGCAAAGAGCTCTTTAAACTTGCTGTTGTTACCTTTCATTTAGCAGGTGGAAAAGAAGAAATAAAACAGGTAAAGTGAAGAGCTGCAAAAAAAAAATTCTCAGGTGGTGGTACTGCAGGGAAGGTAGAAATGCATCATTCATCTGTGTACGCCTGCTTTCCTAAGCAATAAATGATGCTGCTTTCCCAACTGCACTCTCCTGAGCTGTATATTTTGTGAGAAGAGTTACTGACAAAAGAGGATTCAGCCAGCATTGCTGGCCTCTGTCCAGCCAAGCTCAGCCYCCTCATCTCCTCCCATCTTCTTGAGCCCTCCCTTGTGTGCAAGAAGGTAACCCAAGTTCTGCAGGTGCAGCAAGTGGACTGAGCTCAGATCCTTGGCTAGGTTTTGACTTGCACACAAGTAAGACCAGTGACTCCCGCCTCTCTTGATGTGCCTGGGATTCAGGTTTCTCCTGAGATTCTGGCCCAGGTCTCCCTTCCTCTTCCTGCTTTGGGATGTGAGAGTGTCCAGGTTCAGTCAGACCCTCACCTTCTTTGGCCGACAGGCCAGAGGAGAAACCTCAAGCAGAAGCAAGGAAAGTCACTCATCTCCTGTGTACTCTAAAACAGCTCATGATCTTGGTTATTTCTTAGAGCAAACAAGTTGGATCAGGGCTCATTACAACCACAGCAGGCACTAAGCAGAGCTTGAGCACAGGGAGGAGGCTGACAAGGCTGCTGCTACAAACTTCCAGCAGATGAGCTAGTGGTTGAGATYCAAGCAAAATCCACATCTGGGGCAGCTGTGGTGTCCTATAGAAAACAGAGCCTCGTGTATTACATGGGGTCAGGGTGTCTCTCCAGACAGGGCCTGTTCAGTCAGTGACTTATAAACAAACTCTTGAGGGGCAGCTCCAGAGGCAGACTTCTCTGAATTTGTACCCTGGCACTTGTTTTCTCAGGCATCCTCATGTAAGTTTCTCTTAGCTGTGGATTTTGGTCTCAGGATTAGCCTTGGTATGTGACAGTACAGGAGCTCCAAATGAAACTCTACCCTTGACTGGTGCATTTATAACTCACCAGCACCAGTTTRTCTCCCACCTCCTTCCTCTTTGGGCAGAAAAAGCCTCCAAAGAGGGGAGTTCAGAGAGCTGCAGACAATGTCTTTGTTGGTTCAGATTAAACTGGCCGAGGTAGGGAAAGGTAGCTGCAGGTACCAACATACTCCATGCCTGGAGCAATCAGCTCCTTTGGCCCAAAGCCTTGGAAAGCTGAGGAATAGGCCAGGAAAAAGAATGGTTCTAGAATATTTATAGAGCACAGTTATGCTTCTAAATGTCTKCTGGTTTCTGGACTCTTCCAGCTGATGAAAACAATAGCAAGCTGCCATGCCTGATTCTTGTCATTATTCCAGCCTTGCAGGTAGCGGAGAATCCATAACAGGATAAAGAAAAAACAGGAGACAAGTTTTATTTCCCAGTCCGGGAAAAACAGCCTGTTGGATTATAATCTGCCAGCTATGGAAAGTGCCAGTCTGAGCAGCGAGGGGCCAGAGAACCCCATCAAATCTTCACTGACTGGGGGTCTGAAGAGAAAGAGGGGAAGACCAAAGAAGCAGCCACAGGTATGAAACATCATCCCAAGAGGCTGCCTGAGGATGCTGTGGCAGTAGCCTGGTGGGATTTACAGGCAGCCCTGGGAAGCTGCTWGCTGACAAGGGCAAGGGAAGGAGAGGTGTTCTGTGGTAAATGCTGGTGCTACCCAGGACAGCAGAGGATGTGCACCCTGGGAAGTCTCGGCTCCTGGTCTCAGAGGTGCCTCTGATGTGACAGGCAGTGACAGTTCAGCCAGGACACATRTGAGAGGAGCTGACCAGGTCTCTGTTCTAGCCTGGAGACTTTCACATGTCATCACCCGCTGTTTCYGCACCACTAATTGGATGGAACAGGGAAGGCCCCTTATAGCCAGAGTTCTCAGAACTTACTCATTTCCCCAGCACAAAAGGCAAAAGGGTGGGAGTGTTGCTGGTCATCTTTTAATGCAGTTCACAGCTGGAAAGACACACAGTCCAATTTCAACCTAAACCACCTATTTAGTGGTCTGGGTGCTCTATAGGGATGAGAATGTAAATTGTTTCAGGGATCATCTTGCTTAAAAGCTTTTCTCCTTTTATCCCAGGAGAACGCTGGAAACACAGCTRTTATCCCACAGGATACTGAGGAACCACAGCCAGCAAAGAAACGGGGAAGGCCAAAAGGAAGCAAGAAAGTGACTGAGAAAACGGTGAGAGTAAAGAGAGAAGCTGGCTGTCCCTTCCTGAAGCACTGCTAGAGAGACAAGCAGGGATGTTTCTCTTAAMCTAAAGATAGTGGAAGTTGCCCCTAATTCAGCTCAGCTTTAGTAACCGCCTTTGGACAAATCAGTTATTGTGGTTTTAGTCCTTACTCTCCTCCCAGCCTTCCTGTGTTGCCACTGCCTGTTCAGCAGTTTCCTTCGAGTGTTTCTCCTTCCCCACTGTCAGACAATCATGACCAGTACAGTCAGGCAGGTGTTTCCTCCTCAACTGTCTTYTATCCCCAGCTTTTGCTTTTTCTGCTACTTGTAAGACAAGGCTGTTACACAAAGGTCACCTTGCCCACATTTGGTGTTTTAGTCACAATGCCCAGCAAATACGAGAGCTGACAATGTTTTTTCCCCTYTGTTTTCAATAAAGGTGGAACCTTCTGCTGGGAAAAAGCAAAGAGGGAGGCCCCGCAAGTGGGTGAGTACAGTGTTCAGTCCTTTTCCTCTACTTCAGTCASAGATCCTGGGGAACTTTCAGCTGGSTTTGCCCTTGTCATACTCTGTGTCTGCCACAACATTCTTTCAGCCTTGGCAGCCTGGAAATCATTAGAAGGAAGCTCTGCCTGCCTTCCTKATGACCTCCAAGATTCAGCTACTGAAGAATTCTGAGATCCCAGGGGAGATGCTGTACTTAATTCAAGACATATTAGACTTCCATAATATAGTGCTTTCCCAGGCTTGGAATGTCAGAGCTGAGAATCCATCCTTTCTTAGAGAGAGGGGTTGTCTTCCCAGGAGACTTGAAAGACTGAGGGGATTGCATAGCATGTCAGTTTGTCTCAAAAGAAGAAACTTAAAATTAACTAAAGGAGAAATGTGGTGAATGCAGAAACTTTGAGTCCTGCCAGCAGGAGGCTCTTCTATGCAGCARACAAAAGACAAGTAAGAATCAGTAGCTGAAGAGAAAGCATTTCAGGTGTAAAAACAAGACAAAAAACTTTTAATCAATAAGGACATTCAGTCCTGTGAACAATTAATGGCATGTTATCTGTCATTAGGAGTGATTAAAAAACCCCACAACAGCCACAAACCATTATTTAGTGTTTATCACAGAAGTTGTTAGACCCAAACCCAGGCTGTGCACTTGCTGCAGGATCCAYAGGTTTGCTGTATGGCTGCAGTGGCACATGAATGCTCAGGAGAGTAAGGGACACTTTTGGTTCAGCTGAACCAGAGGGACTGAGCAGCCTGTGAGGCATGAAAAGAAGTGTTCACCACCAGCAAGGAAATGCCAGGGTATGGGGGAGATGAGAATCTTTTCTAATGTGACAGTGACCTTGCCAYGCAAATATTTCCTGCATAGTAGGAAACTGTCTGCAAACCCTGTGCAAAATGTCCCAGACAAGGGAACTGTTCCATAAATCTGTTCCTTCTCTGCAGTCCAGGTGAGAAGGTAACAGTCTAGTGCAGCACACTGTGCTTGCTCAAAGCCCACTGCTTCTCCTAAGCCCATTAATGTTACATAAACACGGTGATTAGGGAAGTCTGGTGTGTTACCAGTACCTAAAGCAACCAGCTCTGCAAACTGGGATCTTCAAACTCTGTGGAAMATCACTGGAGGCAGAAGTGGCCATGACTGACAGAACAAAACCTTATCCAGTGGATTCTGCTGGCGTCGTTTGTGGACTGACAAATCTCAGACAAGCAGGAGGACCTAGAGTTTTTAACATTTCAGAATGTGTTGTTTTATTTTTACCTTTGGTTAGTGAAGCATTCTGATGTTTCAGTTTAGAATTAAACAGCTGAAGATTTGCGGGGGGCTGAACTAAAGCAGAAGAAAAAGAACAACCATTTGGTTTTTAACTGATAATTGGCAGAATGTTTAGCTGGTCAGGACAGGGAAGGATCCTGAAATATAGAAGGTATTCTTGATGACAGTTTCTCCACAGGTGCATAATGGGCAGGTTTTTTTCCAAGTTTTTGGCTGTGTGTTTCACAAGCCTGGTAATGCGTTTATAATAGATTCAGACACAATGATTTAGAGACACTTGTGAATGTGTGTGGACACCCTGTGCCCTGGTGTGGTGCTCTTGCCTATGGTCAGGTGTAGAAGTTGAGGGCAAATGGATGTGCTGTTAGGGCTGCTCAGTCCTGTTTAAATAATTCATGTACTTTGTGTATTTGCAATGTTTTTCAATACCTAATTTTGCAAGGAGTGCTGTTTATTTTTGGTGTTTTTCTTTGTAGCCTCAAGCAGTGGCTCAACAAGGAGAGTCTCAGGGAGGAAATTCTCAGGAAAGCAATGACTTGAACTCAGCACCAGGTACACAAGGTTTGAAATTAGATAATCATAATTACATGAGACTTAACAGCRGAGTCATGTTCTGACAAACCATGTACATATGCACAAAGCTCTAGCCCAGGCTGCAGTCTTTCTTGTAAATCCTACAAACAGAGGAGCATTTGGAAGGCTTCCAGTACATTCCTTCCATCTAATTCAGTTGTGACTACTTCAGCAGAAGTGGAGGTAGAAAAGAGAGATGGGATGAAAATTTGTCTTTAAAGGAAGTCACATGTCTAAGGTTCTAGTCACTGTTACAGGTACAGCTCAGTGAAATTGGCTGGTATGTACAAAGTGAAAGTAGTCTACTGTTAATGTTTTGCCTTACTTGAAAATATTATGAATAGAAAATCCTTTGGTATTTGGGACATCTTAGTACTCTGGATTAGCTCCAAAATCCTTCCTGGCTTGTACTSTAAGGCAGAACTCTCTGGCAGTGGCTGGGACTGGCAGGGGTGCCTCAGCAGCACACAGTATGATGGCACTGGCCAGTTTCTGTAGAAGGCTCCAATTTATCTAAGCTGCTCTGCGATGAGATGCCAGATAACTGTTATCACTGTTGCAGCAATGTACAGATGCACCACCCAGAGCCCCAACCTCACTTGAACCCTGCACAAGTACAAATCTGAGCCCAGCCTGTACTGTTCAGGGCCATTTCTGAGGTAGATTCCAGGAAACCCTGTGTGTGTGCATGTATGTCTTACCCTCAGTGGTCCTTGTAGGAGGCTACTCATGAAATGTTATCCCTGGAGGAGAAGGGGCCAGSAGCCCAGGGGACACAGATGTCACCTGGTTTGCCTTGTGGCAGCACAGCTGCTCCCTCCTGCGCTGCCRTTGGCGTGCGAAGCGAGAGAACCAACATTGGGCAGCCAAGCCCAGCCCTGGGTTCTTAGAAAGTCCCTGGAAATGCCCCGTGATGAAATGCCAGGGGGGTTAACCTCAGTTGCTCAATTCAGTTTCCTTTGGGGCTCCTGCTCCCGTATCATTTCCTGCCACTGAGTTGTGCGCTGACATCAGCGGAGCCGCAGGCTCACGGGGGATGAGCTCACCTCCAGCCCGGCTGCCTCTGGTACAGTTGAACATGGCCCCAAACCGCAGCCAGTGCGGGTTCTCTCYTCTTCCTTTCCGTTTGAGGGGAGCCGGGGCAGTGACAGGAGGAATGCTGAAGCAGATGTGGCACGATGGGCGGATGCTGCGGTCCCTGGAGGCGGCTGTGCAGCCCCAGCTGCTGTGCTTGCTCCGTGCCGGGCATGGGGAGGGAGCTTCTGCTCCTGGGGAAGGGCTGCACTTCTGTGAGCAAAAAAAAATGGCCAGGAAATCAGTGGGGATAAGGATGTACAGTGTGAAACTGGGCAATCCTCGGGAAAACTTCTTAAGTTCCTTGCTCAGGAGCTTGAGATGGAGTGGTAATCCTGGCTTAAAACTTCTGGCTGAAAAGGGAAAGGGGAAGCATGCTGTTCTGACTGATTGGAAACTKTAGATCCTGGGGCTTGTTCACAAGCACGGTGCAGCTGTAGCAGCTTGCAGACAGGTGGGTTTTGGATTAACCCGTTCTGTGAGTCTGGGTTTAACTGGGGTATTATGTGCCTGCAAGTTTTTTTGTTACTTATGCCAGTGGCTGCTGCTCTGAGACTTGTTAGCATGAGTCTGTGATCACATAATGATCTGCTGGTGCAGGCACAGCCAGAGCTTTGGTCATTGAGGGCTTTGGTTTGTTTTTTCTGTCTAGGCGAGGATTTTTGAGGTGCTGCACGAGGGAGGGTATGGGAGGATGCATGTGCTTGCCCATCCTGCACAACTCTTTCCAGGTGGGAAAGAATCTGCTCTGGGTTTCGTGTCTGCAGCATTCAGATGAATTACTGAAATAAACACTCACTGATTCCATACCTCTCAGTTGTTAGGGGAAAATCTGAGGAAGAGCTGAAATAGAAATATGCAAGATTTGTAAGCCTGCAATGGGGCAGAGAGCTGCTCTAAAGCCAGCTAGGTGTTTTCCTGATGGCCTTTGACTGGGAATCTAGCTCTGGTTTTCCCAAGGCACTGGTTATGGGTGACACCAGGAGTTTGTTAATGGATCAGGCCCTGTTGTATTGCTACCTACAGATGCTGCCAGTCACAATTCCAGCATTAACATTTCYGTTTTTCTGGGTCAAGAAGCATTTATTTTCTTTTCTGCAAGTACCATTACTGAAGGATTGATGAATCTCATTTCTTAGGCTCCTCAGCCACTAAAGCAGCTGTGGTTTGGCTCAGTAACTGTGTGTGGCTAATGCACTGTAGATGTGAGAGGCAAGGAGGTTGTTTTTATGGTAAAATTTCCAAAAGTCAGTGCAAAGGCCRGAAGCAGCCTTGGGATCTTGCTCCATTTTGTCTTTCTTTCCCTGTGTTCTTTGTACACAACTTTCTCACTTTGTTTCCTCTGCTGCCCCAGTGATCACCTCAGCTCTCCTGAAAGCCAGGGGTGAGCCACAGATCAGAGCAAGCCTGTGTAGCCAGAAACATTCTCCACTCCCATTGTTTTCAGACCTTCTGTGCATCTATTTTCTTGATGTTTAACAYTGAGTAGGGCACTTTGGGTACTTTGTCTCGTGAGGATTCAAGGAAATGCATAATTGCTGTCAGCAGAAGTGGTTGATAAGTGTTTGCAGAGCAGAAACCAGACAGTTTCACACAGACTGTCACTTCTGGGCCCTCATGCTGAGCCCTGCTGCCAGGGAAGCCATTTGTGTCAGGAGCTCCATTTAGCCTGGGGATGGTACAAGAGCAATGGGAATGTTGTTGTGAAGACTTTGTTCGGGAGTGGATCCTTGTCACCTCTCAACCTTGTACTTGTTCTGTAAAGGGGWATTGGGCATCAGGGCTCCTGGACCCAAAGCTCTAATCGTCTCTTTCCTTTGATCTTTCCTTTAGGCATCACTGGAAAAGATGGTTCCAAGTCTGGCAAAACCACTGGTGTTAGGAGATTTCTGAGTAACATCCCTGCTGCAGCCCAGTAGAGTCCCACCTGTTCATGTCTTGCTGAAGCCAGAGGACTGGAAAGCAAACAGGATTTTTAATGTTGTATTTCAGTTTCTTCATTTGTGATAATTTTAGCCAAGCTCTCTCTCCTGTTGCCTGTGGACTTGCTTACCAAAAAATCCAAACAGGGATTTAGGGGAGGAAATGGCCAAAGCCTTGTTGGAAAGATGCCTTTTACAGTTCGTAGTGTATCTTTTGTGAGTGTATTATTTTTTCTTAAAAGTACTTGGATAACCTGGTGCCTTGCCCTGCCACAGAGAGCGCTGTTTCAACAGAAAGGTAGCGTTGACACAGCAGTACAGATAGAGGAAAGGAAATTTATTTACCCAGCTAATGGCTGAGCTTGTCTGCCATAACACCTCTGGCACACCGATGGAGCAGTGCTGAGAGCTGTTTTGCTGCATTGCCCATAGGGACTGCATCTGAAAGAGACAGCCTTTGAATCATTTCTTGACTATTTCTGAAAGGAAAGWCCATCGTGGCATTTCCAGCTTGCCCAGCTTGCTGCTGTTCCATGGTCAGGAACTTGGATGCTTTAGGAGAATGTTTGCACCCTGATAYCTTAGGGATTGATTCTGAAATTTTTATCYTAACATGATCWGCTCAGGGAYTTTCTCTGCTAACCTCTTTTGGCCKRGTGACTCTCCCCRAKTTTGRTATCAACTCCAAGTGCAYAGTGCTTACAGGCTTAGTCAAGCCACTGGGTTTCATCCCTTCAAAGCAGTGTCTCTGAAGAACCAGTTACACAAAAGTTGCTTTCTTGCAGGGCCTCGGGATTCAATTTAAATTAGTTTTAATTCAGCCCCTAATATGCGTGTGTGGGGTCCTCTAGTGTTACAACTATGCAAATAAAAGCTTTGGGAGACAGCAGTAGCCAGTTGGTTTGATAGTTGTTGGCTGCTCTCAGTCTCACATTGTTTGCAGATTTGTGTTCTTGKTGTCAGAGCTGAACTTGTTAAATTCTGAGGAATTGAGGGTATTTCCAATATCCAGTTGCAAACAGTGAAATCCCGGTGGTATTTTCCATCTCCTGGATGTTCTGCCTGCCTATTAAAGGGACAAAGTGGGTATTTCAATTATCTCTGACAGGATGTAAAATTGGCTAGCTTTACAGCACTAAATATTTAAACAGAACATAATTGGCTTTAAATTTATGGTGGYGCATAGCAGAAACCCATGAAATGGCCATATATATTGAACTCATTTATTATCTTTTCATCAGAGTTCTGTTCCCTTGGTAAGTATTTRTTTAACACAAGAAAATGTATGCAGAATTAAGAGGAAGGGCTCATTGGAGAGATAATGGGGGGAAGTTGTTTTTTTTTCCTTCTGGGTAATTTTATCCAGTCAACCCAGTTTAGTACTGATGAGTCCTCATCCCATTAATTCTGCTCAGTAAGGATGAGAGTCCTGGTCCTAGTCCTGTGTGGGGCCTGCTTTGCCCTAAGGCATCTCTTGTGCATGGAGCTTGGTGGTCACAGCAGTGAACTGCATCAGATACTCTTTGTGCCTCTCCTTCCTAATAGCAGAGAAATCAGGGACTAAATGGATTAGATCACAGGGACTGACCTAAATCCTATGCTACAGGATGAGTCGTGCTGCCACACATGGGAAGAGTTTGACCCTCAGCTCCTGCTGTGTGGATAAATCCAGGTGGGACATGACACAAGTGAATCTGTTGTGGTTACRTGAGAAGATGAAACTGGTGCTCCCCTGAATTCTGCTGCTCTTCAGTGGACATACAAGTTCAGCTGCAGTTGATGTCTTCAARGGCCGCTCCAGTAGCTGACCAAAATATTTTACCACCTTCTGTACCTGATTTTCAGTTGATTTGGCAGGATCAGTACTCTCTTTGTAAGGCTCTGCTGCCTGTTTCATTAACCCCTGCTACCTGAGAGCAATAGCTGTTACAGTGTGAGACTGAAACTYCAGCTTCTGAATGGATTAGGGATTGCATCTGTAAGAGACTCAGGCTTTTCCTGTGACATCAGTCAGTCCTTTCTCAGCTGGTGGCATGGAATAGGGATTCAAACTACCTTACCTAGATGGTAAATCCATTTGCTTTAGGTCAGCAGTATTCCTCTGGGATATGCATACAAAGTACTAATCTTAAAATTAAAAAGAAAAAAAAACAACTAGTCTTTGCTACCTCTTAACAGTCTGCTGGGAAAGCACAGTAGAGAACTTTTTTCCATAAAAAGGCAAATGCTCAAGGAGAGCAAGCAGAATTCCACTCAYAGGAACTCTTCTGTGTGTAGTTGAAACCCCAGTCCATAACTTCAGCTTCCATGTTTATGCAGAGACTTAAATGGAAGTCAATGGCTATGGAAGGTGGACAGAATTCCAGACATCTTCAGAGAGCTAGGACATCACACTGGATCCTTAGATTATCTTCTTTGAAATTATTAACACTTTTTGTTTCCCATATAGTTAATTACCTGTTCTGTGTAACCAGATCCTACCTCTWGGCAAATGCATGTCACGTGATTTTTAAGCTCAGGCAGTTTTGGTCTGACTTGGCCAAAAAAAGACATCAATACAGTTGGTTAAACCACCGGAGCTCAGTGAATTTATCTAGAAAAGTTTGGCAGTTTSTCAGAAATGGTTTTGGTGAAGGCATAGTTTGTTAGCAACTTGCAAATTAGTCTTGAAGTTTGTTTTCAATAAAGATATTAAACAAAAGCCCCTCAGGCTCCTGTTTTGCCTCCTCCTTGTGCAACACCCTCAGCACACATATGCACATTGCTGGACAAGGTGAGTGTCTCTTGACCTGGAGTCTGGGAGATTATAAACAAAGGATGAATTGCTATTTGTGTACTCGGGATGCCCAGGACTGGCAGCTGGAACCTCCTGTGCCCTCCTGACTTCTCCAGCAAGCCCTTCTGAAGACATCTCAATTTCTGTGCTGTAGAACACTAAATTTTTTACCCCCCCCACCCCCACCCCCCCCGAGCTTCTCCTTCCAAGTTTTTCACACTTAGTTCAGTTTTTGAAAGAGCAGGGGACCGCACACAAATTACCAGCAGATATTGGGGACACACTCCAGCAGTTTCTGTGAGACAATACAAATGACGGGGGCAAAAAGACAATCAAACTAGATTTTCATGTAAATAGTTTAATTATATTTCAATGCTTTAAAACAGAAACACTTGAATTAAATTACATCATAMTGCTTCTGCTAAATTATACATACACTTCAAAGAACTGTGAGAGGAGGTGCTATGGAACTAAAAGAATACTCCAGTATGAGCCCAGCAATTACCCCTAATATTCTTTTAGTCTTATCTGTACTTGTTTACTCTAAGGGCAGTCATCCCAGGACAAAGCCTACCCATCATAGAATAGTTCAAGAGAACTCCTCGGTAGTTGTTTGTTGTACAGGATTTATCTCAGTACTGACGTGCACCAAGGTGCAGTTTGCACCTGGACTGTTGGATGCACTGCTGGGCAGCTCCCCCTGCAGCACACAGAGCTGGGAGAAGGGCACACGGTGGGGTGAGACACTGAGGAAACTGCTCAGCTCCCACTTGCCTTTTGTTGAGTTTGAAACAGCCACTGAAGTTCCAATCYTAGGAGTTGTAGGGAAAATGCTGCMATTTGTGACAGCTGTGCCTCCCTGCTGCCACTTGCATCCCTGTGCTGCTGCAGAGCATGGAAAGCTGACAGGCAGTGATGTGCCAGCTGCTGAAGGGAGCACTTGGAGGAGATGGTGTGTGTTTGTGTGTGTAGGGATGTATTTGTCTCTCTGCTGCTCACTAGGGCTACATACAGACTCCAAATTCTAAGGACCTAATCTGCATTACACTGAGTATTTGTACCCATGCACCTTCCTTCCAGCAGCATCCCTGGGGCAAACAGCAGCAGCCTGGGAGTGCCTCCTGCCACATCTCCTGGCTMTGAGGGCCAGGCTGTTTTCCACACTCCCATTCCTAATATACTCCCAGAACACCCTAGTTCTAAAAAGACAGCTGGATACTGAAAAACTAAAGCAACTTAGCCTTGCAAAGCTGCCATGAGGGAATCATGTGTCAGCAGAAGAGAGCTRTAAGGAGCTGTGTGCTGCAGGGGTCAGTGGCATGTGCCCACAGAAGAGTCTGCATTTAATGAATATGGGAAAAACAATCACACTGGAGAAGAAAACAAAATATTTGGGAAGACAAAAACTGTCAGGTCCAAACTTGGAACAAAGCACAATACCTGAATTGCCACTCTGAAACATCCCCTTCCATAAAGCTTTATCTCTGCATCTACATTTTGGCTCRCCGTGATTCCCTTTTAACTGGTGCTGTGGATGGAATACAGTCTGATTGCCAAATGCCTGTACCACACAAAGATCAGGAGGTGATCAGTGCATGGCTGGGCACTGATGCTGGTCCCTGGCTGCTGTGCTGGTCTGCAGCACTTGGGGCTGGTGCCCACCAAAAGGTTTGCAGAGAACAGGTCCCCACACTGCACTGCCACGTGCCAATCTGGCCAGAGACCCCTTTGCACTCTCTTCCTCCTGCAGCCCTGAAGGATGCACAGGCAGAGAGATGCTTCAGGGCTACAGGGAAACTCCTGGCTTACCTGTCTAGTCCCACCTACCTGTTCCTAGCAGGTAACTCGAGCAGAGGCTAACGCAAAGCTCTGTGTTCCCTTCAGCAGGAAGAAGAGAAGGTTCTGACTGCAGCTCCTGGCAGGTAAGGAAGTACAAACCGGCTGTTAGTTGTCTCTGGAGGCAGACATTGGGCTGTTGAGCCAATATATGTTTTTCCTTTTTTAAAAGAAACTATTTCAAAGCTTAATCTTTTTTTTTTTTTCTGGATCACACAGCACTGTAGAAACTTCCCTGAGCCAAAACAGGAGGGGGTATGTGGTATTGGAACCCCAATTCTGCTCAACTCCTTTGTGGCCCAAGCACTGTTATTCCTAGCTCAGCAGCAGGGAATCACTAGCCAGACAGTGACAGTCCCTGCCTCTAGCTGTGTGAAGTCCCTTCTGTCTATACAGTGGCTCTAATTTGGGATATTCAGCCACTTCCTCAGTTWACAGGCCAAGTGTTCACCATTTCAGTTTTTAAAGCCAGTGAATTCCCTGTGCTTCAACACCACCTCGGTGCATGTTTATCAGCAGCCACACACTTGTGAAGGGATAACCCCATGGCTGTGTTTCCCTGGGTGGCCCAGCTCACCACTCAGCTGGGGCATCAGCTCTCCTGGCTTAAAGAAGCTTTGCCACCAGTCCCCTCCAGGGCCAGCCAGAGCTGTGGTCACTGCACAGAGATGCCCATCCATCACTTTCCCTGGGGCCTGGTCACACAAAGCCAATGGAGGTCTGTGAAATGCCCCTCTCTCCTTCCCTGACCCAGAGAGCACAGGCCTGTGCTCTGAAGGGTAATCTACACAAAGCAGGCACTGTTCCTAAGCACAGAGCTTGACAGGTGCTATCAGGCAGTGCCAGCCCAGAAATGAGCTCAGGACCTTTTAGTGGTAACAGACACACCAGAAAATCACCACTGCCCTTACAAAGGGTCTGCTTCCCAGAGTGATGGCACTTCTGTGCCCATTTATAACAAACCAACAGGTGACCAGCTGGGCTCAGTGGATCAGCCATGCTYGAGGGAAGTCACTGCTTTGGTTGGCTCCATCCTCCTGGTTCTCAGCAGGATGCCAGTGCAGAGCAGGTCCCGGTCATGCATTGATGGCGTTGGCCACGTCTGTGAACACGAGGCGGCTGGGTCTCTGCAGGGCTCCCTGACTGGGCAGCAGCACCTGCAGGGAGCAGGGACAGTGAGAGCCAGCACGGCTGCCTTGGCTCAGGGCTGTGCTTGGGCACGGCCTGCACACTTGGAACTGCATTCTCCCCTTCCAGGGTGGCTGCCTGGCTAACAAGGCATTAACAAGGCTGTGACAGRAAAATACAACAGGCTGGAGAGTAAGTCAGCACATCCATGCCAGTTTAAAATCCCCACATCATTGGATTACTGAGTCTCACTATTTATATAYACAAGGCAGCATGAAAAGGCTTGAGATATCAAGAAGGCCTGGAAATGTGCCATTGCCTTAATTTGAGCTGTTGTTTCAGACTCTCCCTCTCCTTTTACATTAAATCTCTAAACTCTTGTACTTTCCAAGCATTAGCAAGAGGGATCTGAGATAYCCTGCTGGCCAGTCCCTTGAGAGGACAGATCTGGTTTTACTGTGCTGAAGTCAACTCTGGCCTTACAATTTCCCCATTTAATACCTCCAGCAAAATCCCCTATGTGGACTCATAGAGGGATCTGATGTTTCCTTAGTATATGCTACTCAGAGGACAGGATCCTTTGCTTTTATACACCACCTTTCTTGCTTTTCTAAACTAGTATATGGCATATGTGGCATATTCCAACATGTCTCCTTTATGCTCTTTAGCAGTTGAGAATGTCTCGAGGTAAGTATTTTATAATTACAATTGTATTTATTATCTCTTCCTTACCTTTCTACCCACACCAAGCTTGCTATAGATTATCTGAAGGTGTAAGTGTGTGAAAACTGGGAATTGTTTGGGAGAACTCCTGCTTCTGGACAGGAAAAGCAGGGGATGRCACGGGCCACATAAAGCAGCTGGAATTCATGAAATGAGATGTCTACTCTAGGGATAGGCTGTGTCACTGGGTAAGAAACATACCTGTTCCACCCATCCCTGCTGGCTCTCTGTTAAAAAGGCTTTTTGTGTGGTGGTGGTGACAAAGAGAATGGAAAATCCTGTGAAGCTGGACCCAGACAGTGGTGAGAAGCCCTTCTTTCCTATTTCTCCTACCCCCTGTTACACTGGGAAGCACAGAGCCTCTTGTCAAAGACCTGCCTGACTCCTCAATCCACTCYAAAATGCTGAAGTCCCTATCTCCCGGGCTGGCAGAGATGGGGAAGTCCTCCAGAGGTCTTATGTGGTTTCCCTACCCTGCAGCCCTACAAATCTCCTCAGCCCTGTCACAAAAGCAGTGCAGGTAGTGACACTGGTGGTGGTTGCTGCTTACCTTGCTCTGCGATGCCTGGGAAGATGCTGCATCTCTCCCATGTTCCAGCAGCTCCTGCTCCAGCTCATCCTGCTCCTCGGTGGGATCAAAGTTGTACATGGGCATGAGCTGGTGCCGTAGCTTCTCCAACCTGCCCATGGGAGGGGAGGAAAGGCTTGGTTGAGAAGGACAGACTCRGGCTTCTTCCCCACCCGCTGCTGAGGCTTTCTGCAGGCTGCCTCTCCTGCTGCACAGGGATTCTGCTCCTGTGGCTCTTGCTGGATGAGGGCAAGAACTTATYACACACAGCTGGCAGGAGTGGAAGACACCCAGAGAGCAGTTACAGGGATTAGCTGCCATCACTAATCAGTGTTGGCAGGCATTTACACGCAGAGGAATCAGGATTTAAGTTCCTGCAGACCTTAAAAGATTAGGCTTTGTGTGGAGGGACAGAAGAACAGTGGAACATACTGGCTGGGCATTTTGTGACTTCTTCCCCTGTCCCTCTGCCCACACCAGCCCATCCTGCCATGTCACAGTCTGCCAGCAGCAGTTCACTTCAAGCTCCAGTAGCTGGAAAGTACTGTAACTCTAGGGCTGAATTACTTAAACAGAAAATAATGAACACTAACTAGGAAAGAGAGAGATTCTCACAGGGGGCTGATGCCTGTGGACAGACTGTTCTTACTCTTGTATCATTGCTCCAAGAGACAGAGCTATGAATTATTACTCAAGGGGTCTCCTCAGACATAGATGATGGATGGGTGGCTCTTAGGAAAACACTGAGCCCAGCCTTAGGCTAMAGCTGAGTTTTGGAGGGCGATAGAAGGAAACACACAAGCAGTTACTGGCAGTGTCACCACAAATATCTATTTTGGCAAGTGTTAGGATGACACAATCTTCCCCTGCTTCTCTATGGATCTGCCAGCACCACTATTATCTCCAGCAGTGCAATTTTCACAGGCCAAGCATTGACTGCTCCTGTGGTAGCACCCAGAACTGGGCTTTGGGGTCAGGCTTAGAAATTTTACAGTGGGCAGCAGCACYTTCTGAAAGTGCCAGGCCTGGCCCAAGCAGTCAGGTAGGGAGGAGGCACCACAGCTGATGGATCTTCACCTCACCCTGCTGTGAGATGGAAGAATCAAGGTGTGTTTCTCCCTGTGTGCTGCTCTCCTCTCTATTTTCAGCCAGGAGCTTAGCAAGGAAATTAAGCATTAACTCTTGGGCTGAGGCTGCATCTCTGCACTGTGCTGCTGCCAGTTGTTCTCACTGCCTGGGCTGCTGGAAAACATAGAAACGTGGGAATGGCTWTGAAACTGAGATCCACACCTTTCATGATGGAGTTCCCAGCTTCTTTATACATCAGTAACCTTTCTGTTTTGGTGCATCTCARCATCTCATAGGTGAAGTATGATCAGTTTGCAGATCCCTGATCTCCTCCTCTCAGTCTTATTTTCCTTCCAAAGCCCTGCAGGAGTCTTTGACACTCTGGTGTCAGAGGTGGGCCAGTGCCAGGAGTTGCAGTGTCCCTGCCTCAGTCATTCACAGCTGCTCCCTGCAGCCTTGTTCTCACACAGCCATTGCTCACACTCTCCYCATCTCCTTCCAAGCTCACTCTGTGTTTTGAAGCACTGAGTTCCCYTCAGCCAACAACAGGATTACTTACCTCTTCCTCTTCCTGATATACAGAACCTGAAGGAGAAAGAGAACCATYATTACAGCAGTCCCAGTAGGATGGGGAACAGCTAAGAAGGGAAATTGTGGGCACACAGAAAATAGGTAGAGAAGGYTGGTGTCACTGTGCACCAAAGTGGGAGAAGGGAGAAGTGACAATGAAAATGCTATTTCATATGCATCAGTTTAAGCTTGGCAGCACACCATGTCTGGAAGTGCTAGGTGGCCTGTTATTAGGTATGTTAGTAGGAGTAAGAGTATTAGGTGCATTATCTAGTGTAGCTCAGYGCATTTCTGTGGCTGCAGGACGTAGTTGCAATGGAAGAGTGGATGGAAAAGGTTCCCTTTGTGGTTTCCATGAGTAAATTTCCTACAGTGCAGAAGTGCTGCTACCCCCTCCCCAGTACAAAGGGAAGAAGCAAAGAGGTAGGGCATGCTCAGGGACTTGCCTCTGTCAGCCTGTGCTGGGAAGAAAGGGAGGCTTTGGGCCTCCACAGCCTTGTTCTGAGAACTACCAACGCTGGATGTTGCTCTTGGGAACTTTTGACCGTTTCCAGGTTTTCTTAAGGGCTTTTGGAAAAACTCCTCCTGGGGCCTGCAATGAAATTTTGCAGTAGGCTCCTCTGATGGCTGTATTARTGAAGCCCTTCCTCATATGAGGAATGGGAGCTTGCTGCTACCTTCTGTTCTCTGTTGGCAGGGAAACTATCTGGTTATATAATGAGAGCTGGAGCCCTTGCACTGCCCGTGCTGGGCCCAGAATTAGAGTTTCTGAAAGCTTCTGCCCACAGCATTAATGGCAAGGTTAGTGACACACCAAACCCTYAAGGACTGATACCCAGCAAAAAGCAGAGCCTTGGAAATCCAGTCCAGGGCAGGTCTTGCTGAGATGGATTCTGACCACTTTAGTTCAAAAAGAATTACCCCACATCCACAGGGGAGACTAACATGGTTTCAACAGTCTGCCTGAGAAGTTAATGTGGATGAACTTTCTTGTGGAGCCCRAGAGAAGGTTTAAATCAATGCAGCTGTTCCAGGTAACAAATTAGAACGGAATCTGTTTTGTTTTCTTTTAACTGAACTCYCTCTTGCTATTAAAAACAAACACTGATACTACATATCACTGCTCCTAGGCCTCCTGAGCATCCCAGTCAGGGAGACTGCAGAAATACTGGAGCCCTGGATGAAAGCCTTAAAAAGAAAGGAATCTCAGGAACTATTAGCTCCCAGCAGTTCTGGGTGAGACTTTAATAGAATGCAAATAMATTGTTCAATGCAAGTCTGTCCTAGAACCCCTTAGCATGCTCCACCCTCTAAAGACAGAAATTTTAGCTGGGCTCTCTTACCATYGCTACAGCCAGGCCAATCACAGTAATGATCCCAAGGGAGAGCAGCATGGTGCTCATGCCTGGTCCAGTGCTGGCCACATCTGGCATTTTGGTGCTGTTGAAACTGGTTGTCTCAGGGCTTATGGTGGCTGTTTCTGGTACAGTCACATCCAGAGCTGTCCCTGGCTCTGGCTTGGCTGTGCTGGGGGTGCTGTGATTCAAATCATGCACAGAGGGTGTGCTGTAACTCATCCTGACAGCTCTTGGTAGCTCGTGTTTCCAAGCTGTTGTCCTCTCCCATCAGCTACAGAAGCGCAGAGCTGCCCTTCCCATCAGGGGCCCTCATGTGAGACCTCTCCTGCAGCATCACCACTGATGGTTTTCTTCAGGGTAGGAACCACACTGGACTCTGCCTAGAGGAGAATGACAACAAATGAACAGTGCAGAACTCTTGGAGACAGGCACAACCTTTCCCACAGTTCCCCAATTCACCAGTGCAGTTTTTGAATGCCCACTCAAAATAAGAAAAAGGTTTTCTGGGGGTACTGAGGAGCCCCTGCAGTCATGCCTGATTCAGTTCAAGTCAATGCTAAACCTCTCTCACTGCTTCAGCTCTGCCTACTTGTAGTCACTTGGAGATCAGTAACAGGCATCCATACTTGAGGATGCTTTTATTGACTCCAAAGCAGGAGCTCCCTGTTGTGATAGTCACTGTTGACTGGTACAGTTCCTGTACTATTCCCTGCCCCACTGCTACTCATCTTGTGTGCTCTGGAAAGGATGGGTTGCACCAGTCCTCCATCTAAAGRCACTTGAGTATTTCTCAATCCCTTGTGAAAGCACCCACTCAAGCTTAGTCATGCACTGGTAATTATCAATATTAATTTTAAAATTAGTCCAATTTTGGATTGGAGTTGTGAAATTTGATAGATCTGYTCATGCTGAGAAAATGAAAGGCTTTAATTGCTTCATACTTCTATTGTGCAAATGAGATCAAGAGTTGCAAAACACCATGGGATGAGCCTATGTGAAGTATTTGCACACTTTGTTTATAAAAGCACTGTATGTAACTTCAGTTCATCAGCTGCTTCCCTGAAAATGCAGCTACCTTTGGGGATGAGCTGACTTGATAACTATTGTAGCAGTTCTCTGGTAATTTCCCCACAGTTTAGCAGACATTACATCTCCATCCCCGCTGCATTCCAGCCCAGAGGGGTTAATGAGTTCTCAATAGAAAAATATGTGCCTACAAAGAGAAATGAGCCATTGTTCTCTGCACTCTGTTCTGTTCCAGGCAAGGTTACTGAGCAGTTCCCATACTGTGATGCCTTACTGCTGTCCACAACTGCATTAAGCAGTGTGATCAACATCTGTCACTAACAGCTGGAGAAGGGAATCCACCCCAGGCAAGCAGCACCAGGCTGTCCTGTGGTCAGTCAGCAGCTGGAGCAGTCACTTTGACTTGTCCTGATCTCCCTGARCAGGTAAATGCCTTGCCACACATGCAGGGTCTGTCTCAGTTCCCTGGAAACAACTYCGAGAAGCAAAGGGGAATTCTGAAGTGCCTGTGAGTTTGTGGGAGCTGTCAAACTGCCAAGAGTTTCCACAGAAATGTGAGTAATTACAGTTCTGGTCTGGTCCCTCCTAACATCACGCTGGGTCACAAATTCATTGCAGCTGAAGGGGACCATGTCCTTCAGTGACCACCCAACCATGCACTCCTGCTTAAACCATGGGGCACAGGGACTTCCCCAGCCATTACTGACCACAGCAGAGCTCAGGGGTAGGGGACACTTGGGCACACAGATGGCAAATTTGGAATCAGTGTCACAACTGCAGCAGCAGCAGCTACAGCCCAGCAGGGAAAGGGAAGGAATTATTGAGCAGATCGAGCGGGTGCTCAGGCAGAATCCATCAATTTGTGCTATTCAGGAAGACTTTCCACAATGATTATATCCATTTTTAAAAAGCCAYTACCAAGGAAAGAAAAAGTGGAAAAAGAGCTTAAACTGAAGCAGGCCCAAGGGCTTTGCAGAGTATGGCTCTAGATCTTGAACAGCTCCCGAATTTTGGAAGATTTGGTTAGGCCTTCRGCTGAATGTGGTGTCAGTTTTGGAAAACCAAAGAAGTTAGGCTGGGTTAAAATGAGCCAGCTGAAAATCTGGTCTAGGGAGAATGGGGGCCCCTGTTTTTGCTTTTGGGGTCCTGTTTATGCTAAATGATCCCCATGCCCACAGACMTAGCTCTAAAAGCAGTCCTGTGTGAAAGGTTTCTGACCTGGCTCAGACAACCACGTCCAGGTTCAGATAGAGCTGTTTTGCTCCCCAGTTCCTCCTGGTCCAGGCTGCAGATGAACAGTGCAAGGATGGCCCAGGGTCCACAGCTTACATGGGAGAGCTGGGAGTGGATCATCCTTCCTTTCCCAGATGATATCCTGGTGCTGGAAGTTTGATCTGCAGGCTGGGCACACTCCAAATCTCTGATGGCAGCTGTAGGGYCCAGGGACAGCTACTACCTATCACTGGCAAGTTCCAGCACAGTCCATGCACAAATAGAACAGAAAAGGAACCAGAYTCTCAGCTGCTGCCAGCTGGCATTGCTCCATTGCCTGCACCAAGAGAGCTCCTCACACAGCCAGGACTGCTCTGTGCTGGGCTCCMCTGGGTCTGGGAACAAGAAGAACGCATTTCTCTCTTAAGCCAGCATTTCCAAACTGATCTCTGATAGGTGCTGCTCACTTCCMAGATGCAGAAAATTGTTTTGGGCACCACTTTGAGCCTTTTCTGAGTCTTGGTCTTAATCTCTCTATGCTGCTGTTTCATTTTGGGTGTGACAGGAACAGATTTGTGTCACAGGGATGAACATGACTCAGGGGGTCTCTGAGTGAAGAGTAATAACCACTATATTTTCTGCACTACTTTGCCAAGATGAAGTATGTCTTAAATTCAGCAATGCAAGCTGAATGCTATGTTGCTGCTGGCATCGGGATGTGCTTTCCCAGTTGGGTGAACTTTTGGCTTCCCCCACCTTTGCTCCAGAGCTGACCAGGCTCCAGGGCAGGGGAGCAGGCAGGGGGGGCAGTACCGACCGTGTGTGTCCGCTGTCCCGGAGCTCTACAGCCGCTACCCTTCCGCTGTCCGAGACGGGYACGGTCCCATCCACCCTGGCCCAAGCGCGGGGCCCCTCCCCAGTCATGTCACCGGTGCTCTGACCCCGCGCTGACAGACCCTGGAACAGCAGCGACCACCCTGTCCCTGTGCGGGCAGTGCCACCCCACCGCTTGCCCGGGGGCTCCATCCCTGCCCAAGTCCCTCCTGCCCTATCCCGAGGAGAAGTTTCCAGGCGGATAACGGTTTACAGGGCCCTTCCCGATGCCCAGGCGGCGCCGGCTCAGCCGCGGGCTCGCACCAAGCTCCCCGCGCCGCTGTCGCCGCTCCGCCGGGCCCGCTCGGTACACAGCCGGGGGCCGGGCCGCGCCTCACGGCTCCGCGCGCACCGCTGCTGGCCCCGCCCCCCGCGCGGCGACCTACGCCATTGGCCGGTGCCCGGGGAGCTCGGCTCGCGATTGGTCGGCGTGGCTGTCAGTCATGCGCGCGGCGGCGGCGGGTCGGCGGTGCGCTCGGGGAGCGGCGGGAACGGATCAGCTGCGCGGCTCCTGCTTCAAGGCCCTGCGGCGGGACGGGAGGCGGCTGCCTCCTGCTCCGGTCCCCGAGGCAGCCGGCTGTGCCTCCTGCTCCGCTGGGAGGTGGCTGTGCTCTCGGCCCCCGAGGGAGCCGGCTGTACCCTGTGCCTCCGGCTCCGCTGGGAGCTGGCTGTGAGGCCGTGAGGTGAGGCGTCGCTGTGCGCGCGCTCGCCTCAGAGCAGCCCCGGGCCCTCAGGCGGAGCGACCCGCCAGCCGTGCTCAGGGTGTTACGTGAGCAGGGAAGGCCGMGAGGCTGGAAGAGGAGCCGGGCTCCGATCCCGCCGGTGCTCATGGGCTCGTTCACCTTCGTGGGTTGGCAGCTCCTGGCTGCCTTCCCTGATGTGGCCGCGGGGCCGGCTCAGCCGACCACTGACCTGCAGCCGCAATAGGACACGGACAGTGCGAGCTCCAGCCCTTACTCAAGCCTGAGAAGGGCGGGGCCGAGAGTGCGAGTGGCCGGGCCTTTCCACAGCCACCTCTGCACKTGTGAGGCTACAGGGAGTGAGGGAGCTGGGGCTGACAGGACCGAACCACGGAACTGCAGGGGGAAGGAAAATCTGTTCTTTACCTATGTTCAGGGAGCTATTTGTATCAAGAAACAGCATGTATCAGTAGCTCGAGAGCTACTTAAGAGAGACAAGGAGCCACTGGAGAGGGCCCAGCAGAGGGCAGCAAAGATTATGAAGGTCCTGGAGTATCTGTCTTAGACTGAAAGAGTTKGRTCTGTTTAGTTCAGAGAAGAGAAAAGCGAGAGGGTGTTGCATTAGCACATTAATRTCAATATCTCAGAGGAGGTTGTCAAGAGGATGGTGTCCRGCARCAGGATGAGGAGTAATGGCCATAAAGTAAAATACACGAAGTTTAGCCTCAACTTTAGAAAGAACTTTACATTGAGGGTGGCAGTGCACTGGAATAGGCTGCTYAAGAGGGTCATGGAGTCTCCCTCTCTGGAGACATTCCAAACCCACGTGGCCCAATTCCTGTGTCACCTGCATTAATTGGAAAGCTGGACTGAATGGTCTCCAAAGGTCTCTTCTAACCCCAACACTTCTGTGATTCTGTGTAAATTCTTCCAGTCATGGTCAATTAAGATTTTCTCTTCCTCCCTAACAATACTAATGGTTGTTAATGTTTTATTCTTTGAGTGTTTCTCTTGCGGCAGTAAGTAGGGCTGTGGAGKGAGAAGCTTCCCAAATAAATACTGTAGCTGACAGACTTAACATAAAGGCAAATTTTCCAGGAGCTGTTTGTCTCTCTGCTGAGAGTAATGGAGGTGGTAGGAAGGGAGTTCTTGGGGCTTAGAGCAYCCGTCCCTTTGCCAAGAGGTAGCAGGTAAGACAATCCAGAGATCTTTGGTGCAGGGTATTCCTTCTGCTGCTTCCCTGAGCTGTRTTTTATTTGATTTTATGAAGGAGGRCAGTGGAGGTCTGACTGTTCCAGGGTTTCCCTGTGCAGCAGGAGCAGGGCTGCTGCAGGACTGTAGTGCCAGTGTGCCAAGCTGGAGCTGAGCTGGTCTCCCTGGCTCTCGCTGCTGCCTGGGAGACTGGCTTTAGCATTCCAAAAGGGCAGCTGCCAGCTGCCTTACTTGTTTGTGTGGTGATTTTCTGGAGAAATTAGCGTAGAGGAGGTTGTGGCCTCTCAGAGACAGTGTTGAAAAGCAACCATCAATAAAGAAATGGGAATGGGTGCTCAGGGAAACCCATAGTTGCTCCAGGGACTGTGAGTCAGAAAGGAGATGGGCCCTCATTTCCGATGCATCRCAGCAGGAAAATGTGGTTGTTGTTCTGTTTGTCTCGCACAGTTCCAAGTGTGATATGCAGCAGCTGTTTTGCAAAATTTCATTTCCTTTGTCTCCTGCACTCATCTTGTTTGTTTTTATTCTCTGTCTGGCTCTGCCTCTTCTCTCCTTTAAGAGACTGATTTCCCTCTGGCAGGGTCAGCACTTTGTGGCTTTCCCATCTTCCAAGTGTTCCCTCTAGTTGTGAGGTTTTCTCCTTCCTCTGCTCTTGGCAGCTCAGCTCTGGCTCTGTGACCCCTTGTTTGCCCTCTGGGGGTGGTGACAATGTGGAAGAGCCTTGATCCATGAAGTCCAGCTCTTCTGTGAGCATCCCTGCTAACCTAGCATTTGTAGTTTATGATCAGAGAGAGGGATAAAAAAATAATCTAGGAGAGACTGAAAGTCTTCCTGCAGAAAACCAGGGTGACCCACCTGTGGGGTGGAGAGCCAAGGGCTGGAGCTGAAGGTCGATGTGCCAGTAGCTTTCTGGACAAAGGACAGGCAGGAGTGCTGTGCCTTGTGTAGGCACCTCACTTCTGCCCTGCCATGGGCATGGACTGGCCTCTGACCCCTGGAGATGGGCAGCKCTGGGAAGGAGGGGATTGCMGTGGCTGAGCTGGGTAGCTGTCACRAGCCTTTTCTGGGGGTAGTCTTTGGTTACTTGTAGGGTGTCAGTAACWGTGTTTGTGCTTGTAGGCTGGGATTAGGGTAAGTGGTCTGCATTCTGTCACGAATGAGAACGTGATTTTTTAGCCTGAGTGATTCAGGCTGTTCTCTTGCCTTGTTTTCTAGCCTAGAAGAGCTGCAAATGGTGCCCTGAGGAGAACCCAGTGACTGTGGTCCGCTGGTGCTTAGYCACAGTGACTTGTGGTACCCACAGGTGAATCTCAGCACTGACACATCAGTAGGTGGCAACAAGAAACACGTGTGGAAGCCAGAGACTTTGCCACAATGAGATGCCTCACCCATCCACTGCTCAGGAAGTTGCTGAGTCCCTCACTTCAGTGTATGGCAGGGCGACTGAGTCCAAGTAAAGATGCTGTTCTCAGCTCAAAGCACTTGTCTCTGAGGCAGAACTGCTGTGCAAGACCTGAGCTCGTGACTGCCACYGATATGGTCAACTACTGGCAGAAGATGTTTGAGACAAATGGGATCCCTGAAGCACGAGAATCCAGTCAATATATTGTGTCATTTGTCCTGGGAGCCAAAACAGTTAAGTAACAAGAAAATAATACAGTCTGTGCATGCTTTTCACTTTTTCAATTTGATTGAATCTCTTACCTTGTATCTCACAGGGAGTAGAAGAACTTATTCTCTCTTAGGTGGCACAGAGGGTGAGGTGTAATTTATTATTGCAAGTAGAACACCCAGTCTCTTAATTGTTCTCCTTTGCAGATTGAAGTGTAACATAAACACCCATCCTGAATTACCTGATGAAGTGATTCTTAATTTTACTTATTCTTGTGACACCCAAAAAGTAGCAGAACAGTTTTTTTCTAAACATGYAGATAGTTTCTTCTGATCACTTTCCAGCAGTCCCAGGCAATTGTGTTTGTCAGCATCCTGTGTCACCCTGGAGGATGCCCTTGGCAGGGTGGCACAGGACACCCCAGTGGCACAAGTAGTGGCAGGTTTTAAWGTGACTTGGTCTTCAGTTTCAGAGCCTGGATTCCAAAAGCCTCCACACTCCCCTTACAGCAGTGCAGCAGGAGCAAATCCAGCAGCTGAGCAACAAACGGCTACAGAGGTAGGAGCATCCTCTCACCCTTGTTCATGTGGAGGGCTTTCCTTCAACWCAAAAGCAGCCACGAGAGTGGCAGCAGAGAGAAGGCAGCTCAGATGTCACGTAACTGAGTTGTGTTGGTCTCTCATGGTGATTCAAATGAGAGGCACAATTTGTCCAGCCACTGTCCAACTGGTCAGGACCCAGCCTGTAGAGGTTCATGGGATTATTCCTCCCCAGTTTACATGGTTTCATATTACTTCTTGCTGAATTTTATTCCTGGCAACCCCTTTCTCCAGAGGTCTCTCTGTAACGTTGCACACCCATCTGGTCTGTTAACTACTCCCAATTCTCTGTCACTGCAGGCATGCCAAGGGTGCTCTCTCTTCCTTCACCCAGTTCATTAAGGTGTTGTGGGATATTGATTCTGGGGTATTCCACTAGTGATCAACCTTCAGCAGGCCTTGTCCTGCTGAAATCAGCCCTCCAGGCCTGATGGTTCAGTCAGTTTTCAGTCCACCTCATTTACCCAGTCTGTCCTTCATCAGCTTGTATATGAGGATGTTATGGGAGAAACGTCAGAACCCTTGGGAAAGTCAAGATGTGGTTTTGATGCACTGAGCAGGTCATTGTGTCATGGGTAACTACCACTCAGGAATGATTTCCCCTTTGWAAATCCATGCTGACTACTCCCAGTTACCTTCCTGCACTTGGCATATTGGAACACAGCTTGTAGGACTGTGTTCCATCACTTTACCCAGTACTGAGGTGAGGCTGACCAAACTGWAGTTTCCAATTCCCGTACTTGATAAACTCAGCTGTGGGAAGGGAGCTCCCTCAGCCTCAGCGTGCACATGCTCATTGCAAATGCAGTTGCTGGCCCTCAGCAGGGGATGTGGTTAGCAGTGAGGTAAGCATGGCACTCCTCTGGATCACCGAGTCAGTCCCAAAGCGTTCACACTCCTTTTCCSTGACGCAGGATGCCAGTGCAGTATGTACTTGGAGAGTGGGACTTCCAGGACCTGACCCTGAAGATGAGACCCCCGGTATTTATTCCACGGCCTGARACAGAGGTATGAATGTGGGGAATGTAGTGGGGGCGGGCTTGGWTGTGGAGTTATGTGACACGATACAATCAGAGCATTGCTGTGTAGGCATCCTGTAGGTTGTGAGGCTGCAGTGATGTGGAAATCAGATCACTCCACTCCTTTTAGAATGGGGGTAATTCAAAGCTTGTGATCTGGAACTGATGCTGGTGACCTTTGCCTTCTGCCTCAGAGCAAGGCATGTTGCAGGCTCATGTTTCACTTTATAACACAGAGACCAGTTGCCATTGTGACTTTGCTTTCCTTAGTTCTGTTATAGTAAGGACTCCTGAGMAGTTCAAAACCTCTACTGCTATATCCCAGTGGCTTCGAGAATCTAAACATTGTCCAGAAGTTGCTAGAAGAACCCTGTAGTTGTAGGAAAACAGCAATGGGCTTCAGAAAGCCTGTGTGTCCATGTGCAGGTTGATAGGAAATGGCATCTACCACGTGTCTCAGGGCTCCACGGTGGGTTCTGGACAAGTATAGGGAGCCGAAAGATACGTCCTGACCTGGGCTGGAATTAAATATGACTGTCAGTCATAAGAAAGCAATGGAGAGGCATACATGACCAAGATAAAACTTAATGTACCCCAGTGTTCCTACTGCTATGGAAAAGCTTAAGATCCTACATGGTGACTCTTGCCCTGGCAGTAGCTGAGCTTTCAGCACATGGGCCATCCTAGCAAGGAATTTTTCTGTTTACTAGTCCTCAGCAGGGTTTAGGATTTGTGAGGTGGGGTTTTTTTGCCTTTTTTTTTTGTTGTTTTGTTTTGTTTGTTTGTTTTTGTTTTGTTTGGTTTGGGGTCTTTTCCTTCTGAGAATTTGTTGTCTTTTGGAGCCCGCATTAACTTTTGGAGATGAAGTGGTCTCCTTAGCTTGTCCATTTATGAGTCCCAGAAAAAAAGCCCTATTTCAGTCTAATAGTAATTTCTTCAATTGTTTACCTGTTGTAATGGGCAAAAATTAAACAAAAATTAAAAGGCTATGCTTCTGTTGTGCCCTTTGAGGAAGAAGGTGCTACCGAAATCCATGAGAGGTTTTCAGAGCATTTAGTAGGAATCAGCACAGCTACAACATAGACATTCTCTTAAGTCAGCCTGTAGGCGAATATTTAGAACCAGAGACTTGGTTTGGTATGGCACATCAGCAGTACCTCATAGAGAATCTGCTGGGCCCTAAATCATAGTGTCTCTTGTGTCCAGAGAAGTTGGGAGCTCTTTCCTGGGTCTGGGTTGATCACTCTATAGTGATTGAGTTYGGAGATGGAGCTGTGGAGGAATAGTTTTGCCAGTTGGAGCCAGCAATGGGTGGCTTTGTWACTGTCAACAGTTCCTCTGCTCTGGTAGATGCAAGAGAGTATCTCCAGCCTGCRAGTCCCCATAGTTCATGATGCAATGTGAGCATTAAAATCAGGGAAAACTTGTATGTTTTTCAAGTCAAAATATCTGCTGACAAGGCTTCCTCTGGAGCTGTGCTCTGATTGTCCCCATGCAGTGCCAGGCTCCAAACAAAGGCCTATTGTGTGGAGTGGAAGCTGGGCTGGCCAATGATTGAGAATGTTGTTAATTGAGCCCACATGCCCAAATTTGGTAAAAGCATCTCTGCTGGCCCAAACTGAAGTGCAGTGCTGTGTTTGAAACCACTTACCATACCCTGGTGCAAAAATGTAGCATAAACAGCTTAACCCAAACYGTGTCTCTGGCAAAACTTTATTTGTTGTGTCACTTAACTTACTACGAAGGCACATTTTTAGCACATTTATTACAGAAGACCAGAAATTTATRGTGTTGATTCAGGAATGGAGCTCTGTGGGCAATGAAGAGTTTGCTTGTGATGTGCTGGGAAGGTTCCTGTGACAGGAAAAGCCATGGGGACAAGATCCAGCTGTTCATCAGCACCTGGCAGGAGCTTGAACCAGACCAGTGYTGCTTCCAAGAACTGACTCCTGTAACCTGTGCAAAGTGCACTGGTGTCCAGATCCTTTCCTTCTGCTGGAAGGAAAGGTTGGTCATCAGTGACTGGGAAGTTTGTGTGACGTGTTTGGGTTGGGCTTTGTCTATGTTTTGTTTCATCAGAGTAATTTTTTTCAGCCTTCACTGGACCTTAAAACTGCAGTGGAAATACCTGCTTTCAGAAAGATGAAGTTGATTGTGTCTGTTCCTTTCCTTTTGTTTGGAATTTGTCTGCAGTATTCTTAAAACCAGTAGTGCTGAAACTTTGCAACAAATAATTTCTGTAAATAATCCTTGTTCTTTAGGAAGTAGTTTATTGTTACCCCGGGTTCAGTTTGATCTCTGGCTGCACACACAAGCCACGTGTCTTGGTTTCAGCTGAGAAAATGTGACCCCCTAAATTGACTCATTAGTGCAGATACACAAGCAGTTTCAAAATTTGCTTCCTGGTTGTATTTAGGTAGCTTCTAGAGGTGCTCCTGTGTGTTGATTCAAGTCTGAGAAGAAGGGGAGCCATGTTTATGACACACATATTCTCTGGTTGCAACAGAAGGGTTATGACTCTTGCTCCCAGCGCTGTGGTAATGGCATGAAATTAAACACAGCATGACACAAAGCACGAGCATTGTTTCAGGCCTGGGGACAGAGACACATGCAGAAGGAGAAGCTCCCTTGTCTGCTCTGATTCTGTCCTGTGTGAAATTTGCCCCATGTCATCTGTTCAGTTGTCTCTGGTAGCTGAACCCTCTCCTGTTCTTTCCCTCCGGGAATATTTTTTCAGCACATGTGGCTTTGTTCTTCTGTTCCATGGGGAATCGGGGTGGGGAGGGGGCAAACAGCCAAAAGTAGGGAACTAGCAGGTCCTGTTTAAGCTCTGCCCTGCTGGGAGCAAAGCTTTGGWCTGGCTGCTACAAGTGCTGAGCGGGTTTGTGAGGGCCTGCAGAATTCAGCCAGCTTTCCTCCTGTGGTWCCAGAGCCAGGCTTCTGCACTGCAACAAACTTATGGGATGTGCACMAGGAACTGTCTTTGATAGGTGATTACTGTTGTATTGTCAATGCATCCCGCTCAACACTGTCTCAACACTGTTCCTTACTGCTAACAGAGAAGAAAGACCTTTTCCCAAARCAAGTATTTTTTGGAACTAAAATTTTAGAAGGCCTTAGTTTGGAATAAACAGGAAAAAGAGGGGGAGAATTCAGCCAGCCATGCATACATAATTTCTTTTTTGCCTGGGTGACTGTAGGCGCTATGAAGCCTCCTCATGGCTTCCTTCGGGAAAGGTTCGGCTTGGTCCAGCCTTCTCCGAGGTTGTGGTGTGGAGCACACGGCCCACCCGGCCGTTACCTCTAGAGGGCGCTCCAGGCTTAGGCTCGCCGGGTTCCTGTTGGTTTTCTATCATCAGGATTCCAGGAATTCTGGTGGCTCTGCGAAGGTTTATTTGTTGATTGAAAACAAAAATGGCCATCTTTTGTGCCTCGCAGCTATTGATGCGGGCTTCTAGCAGATGGTGGGAACAAAATGACAAGAGAAAAGGTGAGTGTGGAAGGGTCCCCTCTTCCCTTGACAGTCAGCAGTTAAGGACTGTTCTTAGCCAAAGCTGGATTTGGGGTCATCCTGCTTCATAATTACTAATGAGTCTGTTCCCCATTAATTTGTTTAATCCTCTTTGGAGTCTGCCTGTTTTCTAACCTTCCTGGCATCACGTGACAGCAAATCCTTCAAATTTTGTGTTCTAGGTGGAAAAAGCGTATGCTTTGCTTTTGGTGCTGCCTGCTCATGTAAGCATAAAGGAAAACCTTTACTTTTTACTGCATAACACTTAAGTAATTTACTACAGCATTTGTAATTTTTAGTTATGTCTATTCTTTTTCCATCTGTGATTTTTAAGCTCTTTGGCTTGTTTCCCAGAATAGTTTGTTTCTTACCCATGATAACATGCTGAACCTATACTATGATGATAAAYTTGATAAAGCTGTTTACTTGCACCTGCCCATGGAATGGCAGTCATTGTGTGGGGTGTTCTGTGAAAACACTTGAGTCAAAGATTGGTTCAGAGAAACCTTTCACGAAGTTTAACTTCTAGCTGAACATAATAATTAACTTTTCAAGGAGGTTCAGCACACAGAGAAGGGGGGATTTTTTCTTCCTGACCTATATATGCAAATAAACATATTTCAAGGTGGGCCCTTTSTCTCTCCAGTGCTTTATGTCAAAGCAGTGACACATTTTCTGTTCAGTCACTGCTGAAAGGAAGCCTATGATGCAGAAAAGTCCTTTCATTTCCCTAATTTCTTTACCACAGATGGGTACTTTTTGGAAGGGTGTGAAGGTCACGGCTGTCTACTGAGTACAGCCATTAATCAAGAGTCAGGAGATTGGCTTTTCTTTCACAGTTTTGCCTCTGACCTGTTGTCTCTTCAAGGAAAGGCTGCTTCCCCTTTCTCTRTCATGGGTTTCCCAGTTTGGGAAGTGAGAAGGCTAATAGTTCAGACATTAGCTTAAGGTCCTTTCTTGAAATTTGTGTAGACTTGTGTAAGGTATATTAAACATAAATGCAGTAGAACATTATTGAATAAATCAAAAATCTACTGCACTCTGTCAAAATACAGCTGTAAGCAAATGTGCTAAAGATGAAGCATTGCTGTTGCAGCCTCATAGATCAGATTTTGCCCATATGATAGGCAATACTTTTTGAGTGTGTTGGAGGAGAACAGTATTTTCTGAAGTGGGCTGTGGCACAGAGGCTGGGGAATAGGAATTGTGAAGGGACCCTGTTGCTGCAGAGGAGTTGGAATTACCCTTTGAGCTAGGCACAAGTGTTTAATAGGATCATATAAAGACAGACAAATAGAGCAGCATTGTGGCTGAGGGAGCTGCCCAGTAGGCTGATTCCAGTAGGGATCCTTGCATGTGGGACAGAGGAGTGCCATGTGCATGTAGCAGCATTAAGTAATGAGTATTACAGTAATGGAATAGCTACAGAACTATTTTGTGCTACTGAATGCTTGAAGGACAAGTGGAAAATTGCGTTT